GGACTAGTAATGCCATCCTGAGTTGCTCTTGTTTTCTTTGTATTCTTGGTAACTGGTCTTCGGACCCCTTCCTCAAAGGTTATGCATGTATAGTTATAAGCTAGATGGCCAAACCTCTCCAGGCGGCAGGTCCGATGGATCGACTTCCTGAAGACGCACTTCCAATACGACATCGTGTACAAGCCTGGCCACAAAAACAAAGCAGACTCTCTTAGCTGGCCTGCACACGTTGCCGCTATCCAAGTCGAAGGGATGAACCCACTACTCAAGGGAATCTTTACACACCGGTACACCATCGACCCCGAAATTCCCTTGGCAGAAAAGTGACACCTACTACAGTGGGACAATGACATCGCGTATCGGAAAGGATCAACGAAAATCTAGGTACCCAATTACCCTTGTTTGCACCAGTTACTTCTCAAAGAATACCATGATGTCCTATACGCAGGACACTTTGGTAGTAACAAAACGCTTACCGGTATTGCAAAGCATTACTACTGACCCCACATGGCAGAGGACGTACAGAATTCGTCACTTTGTGCGATACATGTCAGCGGATGAAGAGCAGCAAGCAGAAAAAGGTAGGATTGCTACAACCTCTTCCTGTCCCAGAACAACAATGGCAAGTGGTTAGCCTGGACTTCATAACCGGGTTACCAACTACCACAAGCGGTCATGATGCAATTCTTTTCGTCATCGACAAATTCTCCAAAATGGGACACTTCATCCTGACACGCATGACAGCACGCACCGAGGAGACAACTCAATTGTTCGTCCGCTACATCATCTTACAGCATGGCATCACAACCACACTCATCTTCGACCAAACCCTAAGTTCACCAGCAATTTATGGAAGGAACTGATGTCTCTGCTCAGAACCAAACTCGCCATATCATCCGCCTACCATCCACAGACAGATGGACAGACCGAGCGTCTCAACCAAAGTGTAGAGCAACTCCTCTGTGCAGCATGCAAGGATGAAATCTCTAAGTGGGACTTGCATCTACCCATCATGGAGTTTGCCTACAATAACACTACTCATGCCAGTACTGGACAAATGTCGTTCTTCCTCTATTACGGAGGCAACCCACTCATGCCACAGAAACCAACAGTATCAGCCACAGTCCAACCCGCACACGACTTCATCACGACCATGCATCCGCTTTGGGATCGGACCCACAATCACCTCCTCGACATTCAGCAGCAACAGAAGTGCGAGGCTGATTGCCACTGCACTGACCACACGATCACCGTAGGAGACCAGGTTCTACTTGACACCCGCAATCTTGACATCAGTAATCTCCCATCCAAGCTTCGACCTCGCTTCTATGGGCCCTTTCTCGTCGAAGCACAGGTCACTCCTGTTACCTTCCGCTTACGCCTGCCAGCTACCTGGAAGTTTCACAACGCCTTCCATGTTCAACTTCTGAAGCCCTACCGAGATCCAAACACAGTCTCCACCGGACGCCAACCACTGCCGCCGCCGCTCGTCCTCGTCCACGATGAACCCAAGTATGAGGTCGAGTCCGTGCTTGCACACCGCCGTCGTCGGAATGGCGCCGTGGAGCTTCTTAGTCGCTGGAAGGGTAATGATCCTTCTGAGGATAGCTCGGTTCCTGAATCTGAGATCGGTAGTGCTTGTTGTCCTCTACGCGACAACCTTGTCAAGTAGGGTGATACTTCTACCACCCAACTTTGAGGGGGGGAAGTGTGAGAGTACGACCCCGTTACACATCTTTCTTATTTCCATATTTTTCCTCTATCTCATTCTTTTTTTTTATCCCGATTCCTTTTATCTTTATTTCATCTCATTTGGTTTCCCATTTATAATTTTCCATTGTACATTGGTTTCTCCAATGATTATAATTATATCACCGACCAGGCTTGGAATGTACTGGGGCGCTATATCTAGCACAATCCTGCCATAATCCCTTAAAACCAATAGCCTCGCATGGCTGTACACAGGATGATTCTATTTCTAGAAGGTTCTATTCCCTTTGGATAGGATAAACCCAGTTACCTGATGTACCTTGGAAGTATAAAAGCACCTTGTACAACCTGTGTCAGGTGGGTGAGTGACTGACACGAGCAAGCCGCACCAACCTGGGAGGACGCGTCGACTTGGGGGGGCGCTCCCACCGGGGGGGACGCGGTGTCTAGGGTGAATAGGTCAGACGCGGGGTCATGGGGGAACTAGGTGAGAGGGGCACAAGTGGCGGCCTCAGTATAGACTGCGTACCGCTCGTGTCCAAGAAACGTAGTGGTGACGCCGAGGTCCTGAAGATATCCGACACCAACTAGGTTCCTGGAGAACGAGGGGATGTGCAAGCATGTAAGAGAGCCCGAGGGAACCGCCAGACTGGGAAGGGTAGTGGAGCCACAGGTAACTACCGGACCTGCGGAGGGGTCAGCAAGCACTCAGCGGCAGGGGCAGCAAGCGCCGTGAGCGCAGTGTGGTCGCGAAAGAAGCAGGAGGATGCACCTGATTCTAGCATGAACGAAAGCACAGTGGTAGCAACCGCAGGTAAAGGAGCTAGTGTGGAGCCGAGGCTAAACAAGGCAGGTGGTCCCCCACCTTACGCGGCAGGGGAACCTAGACTACACACAGTGGATACACCTACACTAGGCAACACCAGGTAATAGGTTCCAGCCACACAAGAGTCATCAGCATACATGACATACATAGCATACATGACATACATAGCAGACCTAATATGATCCATGTCAAGCTCAAAGATAGGGACACGACGACGCACCAGGCTGTACCAGTCAGGGGGGTCCGACGTGGGGCTGAAGCAGAGACAGAAGAGGACGTCGAAGCGGCGGTAGCAGCGGGCGACGGTGTGACTGGGACGGTCGCAGATGGTGCCGCGGTGGGGGCCGGACTGGTACTGGTAGGTGACCACACTGGAGCCGCCACCCGACTCCAAGCTGCGCGGCCCACCACCAAGCCCACCACCACCAGCGTCGCTAGGCCACCACGGTGGCGGGGGTCCCCACGGTGGCTGCTGCTGCTGCTGCTACGACTATTGCAGCTATTGCTGAAGCTGCTGCTGCTGCTGCTGTTGCTGCTGCTGAGGCTACTGCTACTGCTGCTGAGGCTGCTGCTGCTGCTCCGGGGCATCAGCCCCAGTCCCCTTGTCTGCACTCCGTCCCCGCCCCCACCTCCATCACCCCCACCACCCTTCCCTCCGCCACGCTCCCCCTTGGGGTGGCGGCCCTTACCCTGACATGGCTGCGCTGAGGCCGCGGCGGTGGTCTCAGCAGCAAGGGCTGTCTCAGCGACAATGGCAGAAACATCAGAGTAAGTGCACTGGGAGCGAGCACAGCCCTGGAAGATAGGGACCGCCACAGTACTGCTAGACGGAGGATAGTGTGCTGGCGGGTTTCTATCGCGGAGAGGGCAGTGACGAAGGCAGTAAAGGTGAGGTCACCTGGGTGCTGATTAAGGAAATGGTCGTGCGCAATGGCTAGGCAGTCAGGAAGGCATGTGGCAATGCGGTAAAGGGTAGCGCAAAGCGGCAGCGGGAAGGCAGTGAGCTATGCCTCAGTGCTAGCGGCGCGATCCACCTTTGCGTAGGATGAATACCACGCATCGATTGTCTACCCGAACGAGCACGTGGCGCTTGGGTATGCGGGCGGCAAAAGTTTGGAGAGCCCATAAAACTCCTTCGAGTTCCCGTCGAGTGCTGGAGGTGGGCAGTAGTTCCTCGGGCATGCGAGCACTGGCTTCAATGGGCATCCCAGGAAGTTGTGTCAAGGTGGCGCCCCAGCTGTGTGCGCTTGCATCAACGTGGATGACTGCATCGAACTGGTGACTGAGATGGAATGGGTTTTCGTTGAACTTGTCAAACTGCGCAAGCCAAAAATGCAGCTCCTGCACTGCTGTCGACGACAAGTGTGCCTTGGCGTGCCAAGAGGTGGCGTCTGCAATAAGTCGAAGGAGCTCGTGACTAAAGGCACGTGCCGTAGCGCCCAATGCCAGATTCATGGAGGCCAGCATTCCTGTGATTCTCGCACGGGACCGGATGGGAACTGGTCGTCCCTCTTGTCCCTGGGTGATGAGGGCTTGGAGTGAAGCAAGAAGTTGTGCTCGACGTTCGAGTCCGACGGAGAAGGTGCCTTGGGCGGCATCAATCTCCAGGCCGAGGAAAGCTATCTGGCGCGAGGGGAGTAGATGTGACTTTTTGCCGTTTATAACAAAACCTGCTGCCTTCAGGTCCTGAACAACAGCTGCGCAGGTCGAGCGTGCATCCAAGTGGGAGTTGCAGAGGAATAGTAAGTCGTCGACATATGGAACAACCCGCACGCCGCTTGCCCGCCATCGCTTTGCCAGTTGTTTGATCAGTTGTGTGAAGACGAACGGGGCAGTGGCAAGCCCGAATGGGAGCGATATGAAGGAATAGTAGTCCCCTTCGAAATGGAATCCCAAGAATTTCCAGCAGGCGGGGTGGATCTCGACATGGTGGTAGCCTGACTTTAGGTCGATGGAGAACATCCAATCGCCTGGGCGAATGAGTTCGGCTACCCTGTTCAAGCCTTCGTACTTGAACTCGGGGATGTCGAGGTAGTTGTTGACTTTGCGCAAGTCAAGAATGAGGCGACACTTGTCGCGCTGCTCCACCATGTTAAGTGGACTGATACACATAAGCGCGTCCTTCGTAGGGACCTTGACGACGGCACCCGAGGTGACGAGGTCGCGAATCGCTCCACAAGTGAAGTCCAGGTGTGTACGAACTCCAGCATGATTGCTATCCTCAAAGGCATGTGGCACGGCTTCCTTCCAGGGAAGCCAATATCCTTTCGCGATGATGGACAGGATGAAACTACTATCGCACCATGAGCACCACCAATGTAGGGCGTGACGCAATCGAAAACGCATGACAGTTACGTCCTTGTCTGTAACCGCGTACTCGTAGGGGTCATGTTCGTTGTGAAACCATCCTTTTTACGATGACAGCTAGACCAAAGGGTTGGGTGGCAAGAATCACATAGGTACCCAAGTGAGTGAGACCAGACAATTACCTAAAGGGTGGATGTGTCATAGTCAATTCCAGAGGGGGCATAGCTCCCATTCGGTTGGAAAAGCGAGAGTGGCTCATGTTCAATTGCAAATGGGGCATGGCTGATATTCATGCCTTCTCCCTTCAGCGCTCGAGCCTTCGTCACCTCTCTCTCTCTCTCTCTCTCTCTCTCTCTCTCTCTCTCTCTCTCTCTCTCTCTCTCTCTCTCTCTCTCTCTCTCTCTCTCTCTCTCTCTATCTCTCTCTCTCTCTCTTTGCTCTCTTTCTCTCTCTCTCTCTCTCTCTCTTCTCTCTCTCTCTCTCTCTCTCTCTATCTCTCTCTCTCTCTCTCTCTCTCTCTCTCTCTCTCTCCTATCTCTCTCTCTTCTCTCTCTCTCTCTCTCTCTCTCTCTCTCTCTCTCTTCTCTTCTCTCTCTCTCTCTCTCTCTCTCTCCTCTCTTCTCTCTCTCTCTCCTCTCTCCTCTCTCTCTCTCTCTCTCTCTCTCTCTCTCTCTCTCTCTCTCTCTCTCTCTCTCACCACCACCACACACACACACCCACTTTCTGTCTTTCTCTCTTTCTATCTCTCTTTTCTCTCTCTCTTTCTCTTATGCTCTTCCTTTGTTTTTCTTATGCTCTCTCTCTCTCTCTCTCTCTCTCTCTCTCTCTCTCTCTCTCTCTCTCTCTCTCTCATCCTCTCTCTCTCTCTCTCTCTCTCTCTCTCTCTCTCTCTCTCTCTCTCTCTCTCTCTCTCTCTCTCTCTTCTCTCTCTCTCTCAATCGGCCCTTTATTATGTTTATAAGGGGTACAGAGGTACAACAGGGTTACGTATGTCCTGGCCCGAGCATCCTACTGCTGCCCGGGCCACCTGTCGCAGGTAGGTTCAATGGTGGCTTCCAGTTCTCCCCAGGTAAGAGGTTCGTCTAGGGGGCGGTCGTGGCTGAAAGCTTGGCCTGTCACCTGGCCAATCTTCGCATGGAGGGTGATTGCCTGCTGCCGCTGGAGGGTGACTGACCACCTCTGGCGGTAGTTGTGCAGCACCTTCTTTGCCACCCTGACTTTTCGTCGGCCTGGTGGTTCCGGCGAGCTGAGAGGGCGGCCAGTACTCGGAGGAACTCGAGTGTGTCGGGGAGCAGCAACCGTATGTCTCAGTGGCGACTCCCAGCACCTTCACAAAGGTGAGTCGTTCGTCGTACAGGTCCCGCTTCTTGCCTGCATCTCTGCCGCCATCCACCCCGTCCCTTTCCGTGCTGTTGGGTCGCGGGTTGAGATGGGGTCGGTGACTGTGACGTCACAGACCCACACCGCGCCTGAGTCCGGGCATCGGAGGGTGATGTCGGCGCGGCGTTGGGCAGTTTCGGGTAAGTAGAGCGTGGATTCCATGTGGGCCACGAAGTGGGATTCTCGGGCCAGTCGCATCCCGAGGTTCACGAGCGCGTCGTGGGTCCGCTTTGGGCCCCCGCCCAGGGTGCATCGTAGCATGTGGTTGGGCAGCCGGTTGTCTGGTAGCTCATGCTTGTCCGGCAGTTGCATTTGCCGGGTAGGGAGTGCTGCAGGCCCATGCGGAAGGCTAGGGCCGTGGCAAATTGCCCTTGCTCATGCATAGGTCCGGGGAGAAGGGGATGGCGACCAGCCAGTCCCCTGCCCCTGGCCCGAGCAGGGAGAGGAGGCGCTGGGTGTGACCCAGGAGGGGGTTGAGTGGCATGTGTCTGGAGTCTGCCACTAGCCGTGCGTGCCTGGCCCCTGTACCTCCAGTGCTAGGGCATGCTGGAGCTTGGCGCCAGGTTCGTCGCGCGGGCGGGTGAGTGTTGGACTGCGCTGGTTCGGGGAGTCGCTCCAGGCGTTGAGCAGGTGGTGTAGGGGCGTTTGGGCGGTGAAGGGCGGAGTGAGGAGGTGGAGGAGGTCGGCGAGGGGTGAGGAGTCAGGGGGTTCCATGGAGCGGAGGAGGTCACCGGCCTGTAGTGCGGAGGCCAGGTAGCTGTAGCTGCCTTCCGTCGGGGTCAATGAGGCCGAGGCCTCCTATGGTGATCGGCAGGGTCGCCTGTCGCCAGAGGAGGTCTCGGCCTTCAGCGTCCCGTGGCTGCTGGAGCTCGCACGACTTGAGCGCTGCTCCAGCAGGGACTTCCCCCACTGCGTCCATTCCTCGGGGGGGAGGAGGTTGGTGGGGGTGGTGCGGAGGAGGTAGGATGCCCTCCTCGTGATGCAGCGGGTGAGGAGCAGCAGCGCGACTTGCGGGTGCAGTTGCTCACCAGGGGGAGCGCCGCTGCCGCTTTTTCGAGCGTGCGGCGGATGATGTCCCCGCATCCGTGGGTGGTGCCGATGGGGCTGCCCAGGACCTTGATTGCGTCGTGGGTAAGTGGTACTCCGCCGGGATGAGCGCGGGGTCCACCGGTGCGGGTGACCAGGCCGCGCACTTGCTGGCGTTGCAGGTGAGTCCAACCGCGCGCTGCCCGCCTGTGAGGGCATAGAAGGCGGCTGCGCATGCCGGCGGCGGGCCGATGATGGTCACGTCGTCGGCGTATGCCAGTATGAGGACGTCAGGGTACTCCTCTGCTGTCGTGGTCAGCGCCTGGTGGAGGGCGAGGGCGAACAGCATGGGGCCTAGGGTCGCCTTGCCGTACGCCCCGCTCGCTGATGAGCGGGTCAGCACCGAACGCGTGGTCGAGCAGCAGGCTCGATGGCCTTCCATAGGAGAGGCGGGTTAGGGGCAGCAGCCCTTTGAGAGGGCTGTCGCGTAGGGCGCGGAAGAAGGCGATGCGTTCGACGAGTTGAACGCGTTGGAGAAGTCCACCTGGAGGAGGAGGTGTTCGGGGTGTTGTTCGAGGTGGGTTCTTGTTGCGTGCACCGCCGTCTCCCCCTCCTTCATCGCCACTCCGAACTGCAGGGGCGCGAAGTGGGCTTGGGCCAGGGCCGTCGTGAGGTGCAGGCTGGCCTTGCCGAAGAGGCGTAGTAGGCATTCGCCGATGGCGATGGGCCTGGTTCCGCCGTCGGGTTTGGTGAATGCCAGCATCTCGAGGCGGTGAGGAGGTCCGCCGCCTCTAGCGGCACTTGCCCTGCGAGTGCCGCGTTGGTACTTCTGTGAGCAGGTTCAGGACGTCAGCGTTCGAGGCGGCTGCGTCCCGCAGATGTTCGAAGCACATACCGCTTGGCCCCGCCCCGACCCCATTCGGGCTCCGTCGTAGTACGGTTCTGAGCTCTCGTGGGGTGATGGTGAGAGTAGCGGCTGCTGCGGCGCTGTAATGGCGTCGGTGGGTGGTGTGCTTGAATGTCGCCCAGTTGGGGAGGGCGTGTTCGGCGGCGGGGTGTTTGTCTCGGAGGGCGTTGAGTGTCTCCAGGGTGGGTTCGCACACCGGGGTGGATTCCAGGGCTTGGAGGGCCTTCCGCAGGTTCCCGCGCTTAGTGAGTGTTTCCGCTCGGGCTAAGTGCCCGGCGGTGTCATTCGTGGCGTGGGGTCGTGGTAGTGAAATCGAGGTCACGGCCTCGTCGTACAGTGACTCCCAGGCGCGGTGGCGAATTTGCGACAGCGTCGTAACATTCCGTCCAGTCCGGCTTCCTCGTGACGTGGTTGCGAGTGTCAGGCGAGGGAGGAGGAGTAACAGGCGCCAACCTCCTTCGCTGTCCCTGTTACGCGCGAGGTGTAGCAGCGGTGTCAGCAGGCAGGACGCGAATTCCGCCAGGATTTCGCGCGGTAGGCGACGTGCCAGGGGTGGAGCCTGGAGTCGCGGAGCACGGTCATGTCCCACTCGCATACTTTGGCGAAGAGTTCGTCGTTCTTCGCCAACGCCAGAGGGGATTGTACCCGCGCTGCAGGGGTTGGTCTGCGGGCGACTGTCGAGCCGCGGCGGGTGTTGGATGTGGCGGCTCGTCGGTTGGGTTGGCCGGGCCGCACATTTGCGTCTCGGGCGGGGGAGTCCTCCAAATCTCCCTCGTCTGGGGCGCCTTCCCAGTTTACCCCGATTGGGGGTGTATAAGTGGGGTCGTTTGCGTTTTGAATTTCATCGTCCTCGTCATCAGCTCCCTCCGTGTTCCCTTCTGCTGCTCCCTCGTAGCTCCTCCTCTGGTGTGTCTGCAACTGGAGTGCCGCACTTAGCCAATTTTCCATCCCTCGGTCCGTCCTCCGTCTACGCCCGCTTCTGACTCCGTCGCCATTAGCGCGTTTGCTGCAGCGGCTGGGTGTGCTCCCCGTCGCCGATCGTCGCGTTGTAGACGCGCGGCGACGCCGCGGAAGGTTGCAGCGCCTGTGTCGCGCTCGCCCGAGCCCTCGTCCGCCCCTCGTTCCTCTGTGCCCTCGGGTTGTGCTTCTCGCCCGTTCCCCCCCGGGGCGCGGTTGTACTTGCGCGGGCCGTGGCTCGCGTGTGCGGGGCGCGTCTTTCCGGCTGCGCTAGAGATGACGCAGGGGTTGCTCTTCTCCCCCTCGCGCCTGCCCCTACGTGAGGCGGAGCGTCCCCGTCGCCGGTGGGTTCCCTTCCGGCGTCTCGCTGGTTCTGTCGCCAACGTCTCAGCTGCGCTTGGAGTTTCGGCAGCAGCAGGTCCAGGTGGCAGCGATCGCGGCGCCCTCGAGCAGCTCCTGCGGCTGCCTCGGTCCGCTGTTGGCGACCGGGGCGTGTTCTCCGCCGTCGCTGCGCCCGCGCGCGATTGGGCGGAGGGTTTCGGGGGAAGTCCCATGGATCGCTCCCCGCGTCGCCCAGCTGCCCCGTCGCCAGCTCAGCCGTCGTCGTTTCCGTCTCCGTCTCGGCTTCCGCCGTCGCCTCTTCCCGCCCCTCTAGCCCCTCTGGCTCCCCCTCCATCGGGGCTCGCCGGTGGTCCCGACTCCTCTCCCCGCGGGGTCTCCAGCCGCCCCTCTGCCTCCTCCGAAATCACCAGCGGGACCACCAGCCGCTGTCGGACGCGGCGTCGTATCGGGTCAGGGTGTGTCCGCGGGGTCTCCGCCCCTGCCGTTTCGTCCGATGAACGTCCCCGCGGGGGCGCTGCGACGGGCTCTCGGGCAGGGTCACCTCCGACTGCAGTGCCCGGAAGACGAAGGGACCCCTCCGCCCTCTCCGGTCGTCCTCAGGGACGGGTTTGCGGGTGGGGCGGGGTATGCCGCCGACACCAGTGGATGTGCTCGGCGACCCGCCGCCGTTCCTCGTCCGCCTGTCCGCCTGGCGTCGCCGCACGCGTTCTCGCCGGTAGAGGCGATGGCCGGCGTCGTCGCGTGTATTGGCGCGGTGGCGGAGGTGCTGGATTGTCTCCGCCCACCGCCATTGCAGGCGCCTCCACGGAAGCCTGAGGCGGGTCGGTCGTGGCGGCCCGCGATGTCTCGCCGCCAGCAGCGCGCGCGATGGAGGCCGCGTCGCTACTCCTCTGGCGGCTGGCCTATGGGTTGCCGCCAGGAGCAGAGGCGGGGGAGCTGGATCCCGCTCCTCGCGCCGTTGATGAGTTGAATCGGTCGCTCGTGGCGAATCAGCGCCCGGCGATCTTGGCCGCTTGCGCGGCAGTGCTTCGGGCGTTGGAGAGTCGGGCCGGGGCCCTTGTCCCGCCGTCGGCTTTGGAGGTGTAGTAGGTGGGCGGTTGTCCGGCGTGTAGGCCAGGTCCCCCTCATCGTGCCGTGGGTGGCGCTGTAGCCATAGGCTATTTGCTAGGTTGCAGCCCCCTGTAGAGGCATGCTTGTATGCTGTAACGTCCCTGGTTTTGGAGTGGATCCCTATCCCCGCCCCTTCTCTGCCCTCCTGCGCGGCCGGAGGCCGCGCCGCGAGCGACAGCGGCCGAAGGCCGCCGGCGCGAGCGCCGCTGCAGGGACCGGATGAAGAACTCAACTCAAAACTAAATAATGAACTCTAGGATGGGTGGAAGAGCCTTATATACCATGGGCTCTCTCTCTCTCTCTCTCTCTCTCTCTCTCTCTCTCTCTCTCTCTCTCTCTCTCTCTCTCTCTCTCTCTCTCTCTCTCTCTCTCTCTCTCTCTCTCTCTCTCTCTCTCTCGCTCTCTCTCTCTCGCTCTCGCGAGCGCCGCTGCAGGGACCGGATGAAGAACTCAACTCAAAACTAAATAATGAACTCTAGGATGGGTGGAAGAGCCTTATATACCATGGGCTCTCTCTCTCTCTCTCTCTCTCTCTCTCTCTCTCTCTCTCTCTCTCTCTCTCTCTCTCTCTCTCTCTCTCTCTCTCACTCTCTCTCTCTCTCTCTCTCTCTCTCTCTCTCTCTCTCACTCTCTCGCTCGCTCTCTCTCTGTTTCTCTCGCGCTCTCTCTTCTCTCTTTCATCGAGGCCTTGCAAAAGTTTTTTTTTTTTTTTTTTCCCAATCTTAGTTTCAATGCGCCATAACGGCGTGCATGATCCATACATGGAATAACACAAGGTTCTAGGCTCACGGCCTTCTCTGCCCTAGGGCTGCCCTAGTCTACTAGGCCATTTGCCTTGTCCTAAGGCCGGCCACCAGCCATGCACCCCCGGTGCAGCCCAATATGCTCATTGCATATTGGCGAAGGGCGCCGCCCTTACCCCCGCTCACACCACCGGTGAGGGGCCTTGTGCTCCACGCCTGCCCATGGGGCATGCGTTAGCCATGTGACCTGGCTGGCCACAGCGGAAGCACACGCCCTTGAAGCGTGGCTGCTGGCACGTGAGAGGGGGGGAGCCTTTGAGGTCCATTTCTCCGTCACGGCCGCCGGGACAACCACCACGGGGGTAGATGGCGCGTGCGCGCTTGAGTGCAGCCACGTCGGCGACCGCCAGCTTGTAGGAACGGGAAGTCAGCACACTCTTGGACTAGTAGAGCTGGAAGCGATCAGCAGCCTCAAAGCCGGCCTCATCCGCCACGAGAAGCACCTCGAAACGCTTATTAATAAGCGTCTCGATGTGTTTCACGTTGTTGAGTGCGCCGGTGACGTTGCCGTGCTGCAGCTCGAAGTCGATGTGCTGCAGGTGCGCTTGGATAGCAGTGAAGACTTCGGCCTAGTCGCGCACGCCCTTACGCATGAAGGTAGTTGCTGGGGGCGTGGGACCAAGGGGGGGAAGAGGGGGGGCGGGGGCGAGAATGCGATGGCGAGCAATATTGGCAGGAGCCTCACCATCATCGTTTTCAGAGTCGTCGCTGTCGTCGGTGTCATTGGCGAGTGCGGGAGTCGGTGCCGGGGGCTGGTTGTCGACGCGCGGAGCTTTCGGCGCGCGAGTAGGTGGCGGCATTTCTTTCTTCTTGGCGAAATTGGTCGTAGCAGTTATATTGTCCGAAGATGTTCCGAGCGTAACATTCGGCTGCTGGTATAACAGCGCCAAAAGCGCCTGGAGCTGTTGTGCGGTCAACGCGGGGGCGGCGGCGGCTGGCACGACCTCGTGAAAGGGCGTGTGCTCGGTGGGGCCCGCGTGGCCTGCAGCCGTCGCGACGTGCGCAGGCGCGTGGTCCTCCGTTGGCAGCTCGCGCGGCTGCCTGGAGCAGCGCGATTGGCGCCAAGCAGGACCTCGACAGCCGAGGGACCCTCGCCAAAAATTTCCTCAGCATGACGTTTCTGGCGATGGGCGGTTGCCCCGGCCGAAGTTACGGGCTCCACGGAATTGTTGGGGTTGTTCGTCGGACGATTCGGAGTCGTGTTCGCCGACGCCATGTTAGCGAGGTTGTGCTGCAAAATGTCGGTGAGGAGCGTCGTCGGAGCCTTGCCTCGGGGGAGGGACTGGGTCTTCGCCAGGTTGGACGAGAAACTGCGGAAATTGAACTAGAGAAACTAGAAATGAAGAACGTGGGTGAGGCTGAATGGCCTCACGTCCCTCTTTTGTAGGCAAAAGAGGGTGAGTAGCGCTTCGTCGCTGCCTTTGCTGCGTTGGCCCTCGCTACACTCTCACAATACACATTTTTAGAAAGTGTTACACACTTTCAAAAAATTACATTTAACAGTATCAATGTTCAAGGTGGTGGAGAAGATGCTATAAATCCCCATGACAACCTTTTCTCATCCTCAAGGTGAAGCACTCTATTTCAGGATGTGATTCATGTACTTCGCATCAAGTGGGCGCTTAGTTGTGACCATAAGGAGTCTATGTACACTGCTAAGACATTGTTAGATTATATAGGTTATTATATAAATGTAGGCTTGGTAGATGTTACTGAACATTACTGTAGAAGGTACAACACCCCTCCTTGTATCCCTCTCTCTTCTTTCCTAGTTCTCTTTTCTCTCAACATTCTCGCCTACCTCCTAGATCTAGATCTCACGCCATATTCATGGCTTCACCTATTCCTACCTAGCCTAAATTCTCTCGTTACGACAGACTTTACCCGTGAACAACATATTATTCAGGACTCCCATCACCGCTCCTATAGATCGCAAAGAAAGAGAGCAGCGGAGCAGCCCTGGCGTCGTGAATCACTACCCTCACACGCCTTGCTCTCACGGCTTCAAACCGAGCCAGCCTCTTCCTTCCCACCGTTGTCCCGTTCACTACCACCCTCCACACTCCCCCCACATCCTGCATAGTCCGCCTCACACTCGCAGGGGCACGGGGATTGTGAGACGCTTCCGCTCTCTGGTTCGTTAGGCGAAGCATGAAGTCAAGGACCCACCTCTGGCCCCATCCCTGCCCCCACCACTGCCCCACAGGTCGCCCCACCAGTTGCACCACATGCAGAGCCATGTGGCGCACTGTGCTTGCAGTAGCAGCGCTGCTGCTGCCAATAGAAAGTTGTGACTCAAACGCAGGCACACTTACAGCTGCATCAGCATCCACATCAGTACCATCATCCAAAAACTCTACGGAAAATGCTTTTATTCTCTGCCCGTATGCGACCGGCTCTTCAAGGCGAGCCACATGGAAACTTTTCACCTGCCCGAGGTCAAACTCCAGAACCGCTGAGAGCACCCCATCCTCCGCTGCCCAGAAGTCCCCGTCTCCCGCCCTCAGCACATTCTCCGGCCCGTACTCGCCCCTCCCCCCCCCTCCCCTCCATAACCGCCAGAATCCCACCCCCATCCCTTCACCTTCCCTCCCCACCCCACCGCACCCGTACACACTGCTCGCCCACGCCCGTGCCCCGGCGCTCACCTCCTCCTGGAACAGCCCCCGCACCGCACGCCCAAACTCGCCCACTCGCTGCACGTCCTCTGCGTGCAGCAGCCCCGTGGTGTTGGGGGGGATGTTGAGCAGCAGGCAGCACCCGCGCCCCACTGACGCCAAGTAGAGGTCCAGCAGGTGGGCGAGCGGCTTGGGGCGCTCCAAGGGGTGCCAGAACCACCCGGGGCGGATGGACACGTCGCACTCGGGCGGGATCCAATCCACACCTGCCACGTCACCGTGGTTGAGGTAGCTGCGTGACGGAGGAGAAGAGGTGGGAAGGGAAATGAGGCATGAAGGAAAGTGTGCGGCAGGGATGTGGAGGCGAAGGCTGCGGTGTCCCCTAGGGATGTACGTGGCAATACAACTGTGCCGAGGTCCTCAACCATGCACAAGGGGCGCACAAGGGGCGCGCCAGGGGCGCACAAGGGGCGCACAAGGGGCGCGCAAGGGGCACACCAGGGGTGCACCAGGGGCGCACCAGGGGCGTGCAATGGTGCAGGGTGACAGCAGGAAAGAGAGCTGGCCACTCGACAGGGCGCCCATGTTTTTCAGCAACCACCAAAGCACATCCGTTTCATACCCATGCGCTTCATTCATACCAAATCCCTGCTATCCATCGCCACCATTCATTCCCCCCCACTCACTCTGTGTCCCATCCCTCCAGCGTCAGCTCGCTCCCATTCACCGTCCCCCAGCTCGTCGCCCGCCCGCCCCCTTCCTGCGCTCACAACCCGCCCAAATGACCCGCTCCTTTCCCCCACTCACTCTGTGTCCCACCCCTCCAGCGTCAGCTCACTGCCGTTCACCGTGCCCCAGCACGTGCTGCCCGCCTCGCCACGCTCGTTGCCGGTCCACCGCAGGTCGGGGCCCTGCGCTGAGAACACAGCGGCGCCCGGCTGCAGCTGGCGAATGAGCGCCTGCCACGTGACCGTGTGGTACGCCATGGGGCGGTCGTCGCCCTTGGCGCCATCCAGCCAGACTTCTGCGATGGGGCCATAGCTGGTGGTTGGGACGGAAGGGGGGGCAGGGCGTTGAGGGGAGAGAAAGTGGGCAATGCGTTTGTTTGAGGTGCCTCCAACAAGACGTGGCGCCACCCAGCCAAGCCTCTGCTATTGGCCCATCGCTGATTGGGACGAAGGATTGGTGCGAGAGAGTGAGAGGGGGTGGAGAGAAAGAGAATGACAAAGAGGGCGAAGTTTGCAAGAGACATTGAGGGCGGGCAGGACTGAACGGAATAATGCTTTCCGCGTGCAAATCCACTGACCGAATCACCAGCCGTCTCAGCGCTCCCAATGACCACTGTGGACTGGCCCGTTCTCGCTGCAAGCCACTACAGCCCTCTCGCATGAGCGTATTGCTACCACAACACAAGTCCCACTCCAGCCTGCCTTGCTCCTCCCCTCCCCCCCTCCATTGTGTGTCAACAACCTCTCAGCTCCACACCATGTGGCCAGCCCTCTCGGCCCCTTGAGACTCCACCTCACCTTATCTGCCTCCCCCCCCACTCACCTGGTGAGCAGCTCCCGCAGCTGCCCCTCATAGAACGCGTTGTACGCCTCCGCGCCCGCCTCGTACGCTGCCTCGTGCCGGTCCCACGGCGACAGGTACAGCCCCATCCCCACCCCCGCCGCCCGGGCCGCTGCTGCCACGTCAGCCACAACGTCTCCCCGGCCGGCCTTCCAGGGCGCGGAGCGCACGGAGTGGCTGGTGAGGGCGGAGGGCCACAGGCAGAAACCGTCGTGGTGCTTGGCTGTCAGCACCACCAGCTGATGGGGGCATGGGGCATGGGGCATCGGTCATGGGGCATGGGGTATGGGGTACAGGGCATGCGTCATGGGGCACGGGGCACGCGGCAGGGGCATGGGGCATGGAGCACGGGGCATGGAGCACGGGGCATGGATCACGGGGCATGGAGCACGGGGCATGGGGCATGCATTGCGCAGTGCGTTGGAACTCGGCTCCTTCAGCGCCAAGGGTGAAAGAGCCAAGGGTCCCACCCCGTGCGGCGCACGATTTGATTGCGTCGGACCCAGCGTCACCCGGAACCCGCCTCCTTCCCCGTCTCCGCGCACTGCGTTGCACAGCGCCACGGGGGTTGAAGAGCGACGGGCTTTCCCTACGCATACACACGAAAGCCCCCAATCTACGAGCATACCTTAAAGCCTGCGTCCTTCACCGTCGCCACCCACTGCGTGGCGTTGAGCGCCGCGGGGTTGAAGAGCGAGGGGCTCTCGCCGCCCGTGCCCCACTCGCGATCCGTGAACGTGTTCACGCCCACGTGGAAGAATGCTGCCAGCTCAGCACGCTGACGTGTCAGCTGGCGCGCCGTGGGGATGGGAAGCAGCGGTGGGGGCGGCGGGAGACGAGAGGGGAAGGAGAGGAGGGAGGAGAGGGAGGCGAGCGGGTGGAGGGAAAGGCGGCGGGGGAAACGGGGCGGTGTGAGGGGGAGGGAGGGAGGATAGGCGAATAGGAAGAGAAGGAGGACTATGAAGAGCGACATGAGAGGAGAGAGGGCGCGGGAGAGACGGAAGCGAGGGTGGAGCGGCTGAGGCGGATCCATGACGCGACGATGCGGTCACCGCAACGACGCACGGCGCGACGAGGGTGAGGGGGCGGAGCGCTGGGGCTGATGAGGAGGGGCACGCAGCAATGGCGGATCTGAGGGGCGAATTCGGGGAAATAGTGGAGGCGCGGGAGCGGATGCGGCACGGGCATCCGTTCTGTAGGGCTTGTGCGGTTGAGGTGCGATGGCGGCTTCTCCCAGCGTGCTGCTTCACTGTCTGCTGGTGAGGGAATTCGACATCCACAGACCGGTAAGTATTCGCTGGATGGGTACTACCATAACATTTTGCATTGGAGTCTGTATTCGAGCTACCTCATGCGACTTCTCGCTGTTTCTCATTCTCGTTATGTGAAGTACTGTTTTGTTTCATGTCTCCTGGCAAAAAATTGCGACACGTGTCCAACACCCGAATTCGGAGCATTGTTATCGGGCAGAGACGAAAAACAGTGTTACCCATAGGTAGGGCCGTACATCAACCCTTAACTCGCTGAAGGGCCGCGAGTTTAGGGTTTACCCATATTCGAATGGCATGGAGGCCCCCATGGGTTTTATTTCTGTCTTTGCCCGTAATGATGCTCAACCTCCCTCGGCTATCAAATAGACACGTGTCGCAAAAGTTTGCCAGGAGACATGAAACGAAGCAATACTTCACACGACTACAATGAAAAACAGCGGGAAGTCACATGAGGTAGCCCTAATCGATACTGGGATGCGAAATGTTTTGATAGTACCCATCCAGCGGATACTTCCCCTCCACAGGAAGCATTGTTGCGAATGTTGAGTACACAAGGACCAGATTTTGACACGAAATTCGGCGCAACGGACCCCTCGAGTTTCGTCACACGTACTAAGACAGGTTGCCATCAAATGGCAAAATAAAACTCAGAACCACTCTAGTTTGACCGCTCGCCGAACTCAACCGATGTAACACGCGACTGTCGAGCTGTTGACGTGACGATAAGCGAAAGTCTGCAGGCAACGCTAAAAGAAATCGGCCCCGGGATCTTCAAAAATCAGATCCTCGATATTCAAAGCGCTGATATAAGCTTGTAGAGTTTTGGTTCCCATTTTGTGAAATGTTAGCGCAAGCGATATCGAACAAGGTTTTGGAAGGGGTTTACTGGGTGGTGTGTTGAGACATGGACGAGGGGGGGGGGGTGATGACGCACAAAGCATGATCCGGCCGACCAGCAGCGCCATCGCACCGCACCGCCGCACCACCCCTGCCATCCCACGCAGCTGACGTACGCGGCGTCCGTGCACCTCGCCGCGCGTCGACATCGCGAGAGACAGCCGTCTGCCGCCTTCAACCCTCCGCCGCATACTCGGGTCCAGTGGCCCTCGCCCCGCCACACTGCACCTGCCTCTGACCGCGAGGACGCATTATCGGCCCGTGCGCTGCCCCTTGCTGCCGCGACCTGCGCGATCGATACTGCCGCAGGTTCGCCGCGTTTTTTCCAGCGACTTCCGCCGCTTGTAGTGATGAGCTCAGTGACGAGGATGAGACGACGGCGCACGTGACGCCTTGGCTTGACGTCGTGCCTCTCTCGCCGCGCGTGCATCGCAAAATGCCCCTCGTTCTCTCTCTCGCCTCCCCCCCTGCGATTTCTCCCAAATGCCCTCTCCTTTCGCGCCGATCACGCCTTGCCGCCAATGGCTACTTGCCACGTCGAACAGCCGAACCAACTCCAGAGCTGGCGGCGCCGAAAGTTGGCGGGATACCGTGGCGTGGGGAAGTGGCGGGTCGGATAATGACGTCAGCCGCTTGGGGGAGTGAGCGGTGGTGCGTTGGAGAGCGAGAAGCGCATCGGAGGACAGGGGGAAGGATAGCGGCGAGCGCGGGGGTGGAGGAAAGGGGATGTGAGGAGGCGAGGGGGGAGGGCGAGGAGGGGGTGGAGGGCGAGGAGGGGGTGGAGGGCGGTGAGCCGGGGGGTGGTAGGAAGGAGCGGGAGAGGGGAGGCGGAGGGAGGGAGAGTGGGAGAGATGGGGAGGAGGCGGAAACAGAGGGAGGCGGATGGGAGGGGGATGTGGAGGGCAAGTGTGGCAGCAGTAATGGTGACGCTGGGGGCATTTGCGCGGCGCGGTTCAAATACATGATGGTGCTGGCGTACGACGGCACGGACTTCTACGGTGAGAGGGGCTCGTTGGTGTGTGATGGTGGCATGGCATGTGATGGTGGCATGTGATGGTGGCATGTGATGGTGGCATGTGATGGTGGCATGGCATGTGATGGTGGCATGTCACTGACTCACTCTGATGCACATGCTGATGGTGGCGTATGACGACACATACATTTATGGTGAGCGGTGGAGAGCAGAGACGAACGAGCACACAAGTTCCATGCCCCCCTTCCATGCCCCCCTGCCATGCCCACCAGCCCCTTATGCACGGCGCAGTTGAGGCGGCTCAAGGGAGAGCAGTGGCGCCTCTTCACCCTCGCCCTCTCCTTCCCCCTTCTCCCCGATCTCCCTGCCCTCTGCCCTTCCCCCTCTCTCTCCCTCCCGTCCAGGCTGGCAGCGGCAGCCCCGGGCGCAGTGGCCCATGGTGCAGGGCGCCAGTGGAGGGGGCGCGGGATACGCACACCAAGGAGAGGAGCAGCAGAGGCGTTCTCTCCTCTCTTCTTCCTTCTCTGGCCCCCCTCCCGCTCCCTCCACCCCAGGCTGGCAGCGGCAGGCGCATCGCCGGTGGTGCAGGGCGCAGTGGCGGCAGCACTAGGGACACACACCAAGGAGAGGGACGGCCAAGACACCTCTTCACCGCCATTCTCTCTGCTCCCCGTCGCCCCTCCTGCTCCCCCCCGCACCGTCCCCTTCCCTGCAGTCCAGGCTGGCAGCGGCAGGCGCATCGCCCCACGGTGCAGGGCGCGGTGGAGGCGGCGCTGGGGACGTACACCAAGGAGAGCCGCGACGCGCTGGCCGTGCTGGGGGCCTCGCGCACCGACGCTGGTGTGCATGCCTGGGGGCAGGTGAGCGCTGCTGGCTGCTCACTTGCTCCGCTGCTCTGCTGCTGGGGTGCTGGGGTGGTGGGTGAGGGGTAAGTCGTGGCTGCTGCCCCATGCAGGCATGCTGGTGCAGGCGCGTAGGGGCATGCAGGGCTGGGTAGGGGGCTGGGTAGGGGGCTGGGTAGGGGGCTGGGTGGGTGGGACAGAGAAGAGCTCCTGATTTCCTAAACACTCTCGGTTACATAAGCATAGCGTTTTTACAAACTGTTTTTTCCTACTTGCTAAACCGACTTCCTAACTGCGCTCACTGGAATTATGTCCGGAGACAGGCAGGGAAAGGTGGAGCGCGGATGTGCAGGCGGTCAGATGGGACGCGAGGGCGCGACAAGGGACGAGGTGACGAGGGACGAGGTGACGAGGGAGAAGCTAGTGATTGTGACGCACTGCCTCTGTCTGGATGGATGGTTTTGGATCTGCAGGGAAGTGTGCGCTTTTAACTCTCTTCCTCTGCGCACTCCTTCCCGTCCCTCCCTCCGTTCCCAGGTAGCCCACTTCACCACCACCTCCCCCATATGCGACCTCCCACGCATGCACCGCGCCCTCAACGCCCTGCTCCCCCCGGCCATCCGTGTGCGCTCCCTGCGCCCTGTGCCCCGCTCCTTCCACGCGCGCCTGCTGCCCGTGGGCAAGCGCTACCACTACAGCGTGCTCAACTCCCGCGTGCCGCACCTGCTGCCGCACCGCCGCGCCACCGTCCTCAGCTACACCCGGGGCCTGCTGGACCGGGGGCGCATGGCGGAGGGCGCCAGGCTGTTCGTGGGGCGGCGCAACTTTGGCGCGTTTGCAAACGCGTGCGAGGCGAAGGAGAAGGGTGCTGTGAGGGAGATCACGCGGTTTGAGCTGGTGGGGGAGACGGACTGCTGGCTGGGCGCGGTGGACCCGGTGAGGGGCGGGTGTGAGAAGGGTGGTGCTAGGGTATTACTTTGTGTCTTTTTGCCTCTTGTGTTGCTGATCGTGACTTTGCTGCTCGTCCCAGAGGCAATAATTTGTGTGTGGCTTGTATGGTGTGTAGCCTGCAATCCATGCGTAGTCAATCGTCCTGAACCTTCCACATTCTAAACCCGTCCACCCCTGGCCCTCCCCTCCCGTGTGACCCCAGGGGGAGCAGTCGCCAGTGTTCCGTTTTGAGGTGGAGGGCACGGGCTTCCTCTACCGCCAGGTCCGCAACATGGTGAGCCGCACCTGCACCTGCACCTGCCTTGGCTGTCATGTCCCTACCTCGCCTCCATGCATGTGTTATCTCCTCAACAGTGCATGGCTTGTTGCACAAGCCCTTCCGCTGAGGTCACACGCATGCGCTGGGTATGTGGTGAAATAACCAGAGCAGGGTTCGCCATTCCCTTGCGTGCTGCTCAAGCGTGGGCTCCATGTGTTTCCGTTGCTGCCTGGTTTCATCCTCCTCTTCTCTTCCTCCTCGCTGCCGCATTCCTCCAGGTGGGCCTACTGCTCCAAATAGGAGTGGGCGCTCTGCCCCCCGCCATAGTCACGGACTTGCTGCTCTCTGGGGACCGGCGCCAGCTGGCACGGGTGGCGGCCACGGCCAAGGCGCAGGGGCTGGCGCTCATGCGCGTGGACTACCCCCCCAGCGCGCTCGTTGCGCCGCCTGGCTCCCCGCCGCCCAGCCTGAGTTACTTTGAGCCGTGAAGTGTTGGCCCTCACTGGCACGGCACATGGTACTCATGCCCTCATGTGAGCTTCCTTCTCTGATCAGGCCAGGGACATGCGGCTACGACTAATCACATCAGTGCTGATCCCTGGGTTCAAGACTGGTTCGCGTTGCGGCTTCAACATCGATATCATGCATCAGATTGCTTTTCGATTAGGAATGAGCGCATGCATACATGGGTTTATAATAGAGATCACATACAAAGAAGGTGGAATTGTCCTATCCTATCTTCAGCCTTTATTAGATAACAAGAGATACGTTTAGAATTCAGCACGACCCGTCACAATATCACATGGGGCAGGCGCATGGTTGCCCGACCACTCAAAGGAACGCTCCCCGGGGATGATACCAGGCTGCCCTTTGGCTTTTTCAGCCAGGTTGAGGCGAAGACGGATAAGAACAGCCTGGGACCGCTGCTGCGTTACACCAATGCGTTGAGCAATGCTCCGGCCGAGGGTGGACTTTAGGTCAATCAGATTGCCTGACTGCCTGCCGATACGCTTGGATGTAGTTGCCGCAATGTCCCGAATACACTCCTTGAAGCCCGCTGACATTCCCCCGTAGATCTCCATTGCTAGCGGGATGACCTTGGTATCAGAAAGAATGATTGAACTAGAATGTGTGAGTACAGGGGTATATAGACTAGGGTGTTGTACCCTCTAGGGCACAATCCAGTATAGTCTACAGTAACGACCTAAGTTACATTTGACACACCCCCTAGACTATAAAGGGGCAGTGCCTAACAGGGAAAAAAGCAGCTCAGGGTGGTGTTGGGCTGAAAAATAGCCCTTAGGATCTTTCCAGAGACTAAGTCCAGTTGTAAAGGAGACTTGAGTAGTGCAGCGGAAGTTGAGTAGTTGAACCCTTGTACTAGTATGTGAGAACAAGTGATTGATTAAAAGAACAAGCATACAGCAATATATAGAAAGTAGGAAAGTAAAGCAGTTGAAGCAGTTGTAGAGTACAGTTGAAAGAGCGGTTTATCGAGTCGCACAACGACTCGATTGTCGCTTCGGTTACCATCCTTGCAGTTGTAACGGTCAGACGCAACCTCCGGTTGCAACCCTTCGAGTCCTTTCGTGTTCTTTGTCCTCCCCCTCGTGTAACCTCCGTTGACTCGCGTACTCGTTACGATCTTTCTCGAGTGTGGTGTTACACTTCAGAAACGCTTAAGTCCTCGAGATATTTCCAACACTCCCCTTCGTTCCTGGAGTGCTGCTGTGTCCGGATTCGGCGACGTTCCTCTGCCCAGTCAGTAGCATGCAGTAATCGAACTTTGCTTTCGCCAGTTTCTTCGTCAGGTAGTCTGCAGCCATTTCTGTCGGGCAGTAACTGAGTTGAAGTCTCCCCTCTGCGATTTCATCTTTGACGAAGAAGTACCGCAGGGCGATGTGCTTGGTTCGGTTGGCGAAACCGTCCTTGTTCGCGATTTTGATTGCAGATTGGTTGTCGCAGAGGAGTGAGAAGACGGGCAGGGTCGCAATCTTTGCTTCCTCAAGTAACTCTCGCAGGTAAAGTCCTTCCTTGGTCGCAGTGCAGAGGGCGATATATTCTGCTTCAGCCGAAGATAGTGCGATTAGTTCCTGTTTGCTCGACTGCCAGGAGATAGTCCCGATAAGCTCTAGTCAGTAGATGTAGCCCGTCCTTGATCGTCGATTTTCCCTGTCTCCCGCGTGGTCGGCGTCGACGTATCCGAGTAGTTGTATGGACGATGTTGTTACTTTACTGTAGGTAAGTCCGGTCGTCGGCATAGAGACGAAGTAGAGTAGTGCCCGATTAAGTTCCTCGAGATCTTCTTGTTCCGGCTACTTCAGGTGTGTCGCCAGTTGGCTCGCGCTGAAGGATAGGTCAGGTCGGCAGGTTACTGCTGTGAATAGTAGGCATCCGAGCTTCTGCTGATACTCCTGGATTTGCTTCGCGGGGAGTTTTGCGGAGGTGTCGTTGTTGTTCCCGTAGCAGTAGGGAGTCGTGGCTGTAGTCGGTGTTAGTCCGAATTTCTTCGCGACAACACCTGCGTATTTTCCAGCATGTAGATAGAACGCCGAGTTGTCTTCGACGACGTTCAGACCCAGGTACTGGGTCACGGTGTCAAACACCGTGAGTGTCAAGTCATTTCTTAGCTCCCCTTCGAACCAGGTGGCGATGTCGGTAGTGGAGCCGATGTAGAGCAGGTCGTCGACGTAGACGATGAGTAGGATAAAGTCCCTTCCCTTCTGTAGTCGATACATGCCTTGGTCGTGCGGCAGCTGCAGAAACCCGATTCTGACGAGGCGACCGTGAAGATGCTGCTGCCAAAGCCGCGGAGCTTGCTTGATCCCGTAGAGGGATTTTATCAATTGGCATACTTTTGTGGGGTCGTCGATGAATCCCTGGGGCTGCTCGACGAAGATCTCGGCGTCCACAGGTGCGTACAGGAAGGCATTTGCGACGTCGATCTGGCGTAGTGGTAATTTCTTCGTGGCCGCGACAGCGAGTAGAATGCGCAGGGAGGTGTGACGGGAGACTGGGGCGAATGTTTCTGTGTAGTCGGTTCCGTATCGTTGATCGAACCCTCGTACGACCCAGCGAGCCTTGAATCGTTCGATGGAGCCGTCCGCATTAGTCTTGATGCGGTACACCCACTTTCCCGAGAGTACGTTCTTCCCGTTGATGTTCGTAGCAGGTACCAGCTTCCATGTATTTCGGTCTTGCAGAGATTTCAGTTCCTTTTCCATTGCCTTCTTCCAATTCGCCTTATGTTCCCCCCCCAGAGCCTGCGACAGAGTCGTTGGCTCGCGCGGAGATGGCGGCGGCGGGTGCTGTACGGAGACCCATAAGCCGAGTATCTACGGTCGCGTGAATGTGTGTCGAGCGGAATTTTCATTCCCGGAATAGGCTGCTTCGTCACTATCTTCTGGGTCAGGTAAGAAGTTTGGACCGATGCGTTCTGAGGCATTCGTGTCGACCGGGTGAGGTGTAACGTAGCCTTGGTCAGCGAAGTGGTAAAGGGTGTCGAGGTTGTTACTATCGAGAGGATTGTCGTCGTCGAGTGGAACAGGCACGGAACAGTAAAGGAGTGGTCCGGCAGCTTCCAAAGCTCCAGGTACGTCTTCTTCTGCTGCGTCAGCCTTGGCAGCACGGTCGGCGAAGGACCGAAGGCCCGCGAAGCCATCGGTGGGGTCGTCCGGATTGGCGACGTTGTCCAGGTAATGCTGAAGTGTCAGTCGTTCGTAGAAAATCACATCACGTGATGCCACGGTATTTTTGTCTTTTATGTCGAGGAGTTTCCATGCTTGGAAATATTTGGCGATGCCGAGGTGTAGTCCCCACCGTGCTCGTTGAGTGAAGCATCCTGCTCAGGCTGTGTGGGGTCTGTATTGTACCATGCAACCGAAAACCCAAAGTAATTTTGTGCTGCCCCTTTTTCGTGTCCACAGCAGGTGCGGTGATGCGTTGTTGGGAAGCGAGGATGAGGATAACAGATTGTGCAGGTGGACTGCATGGGTCATCGCGTCTAGCCATAGTGTGTTGGGCAGTCTCATCCCCAGGAGCAGCTTCCGCATCGTCGTCTGCAAGGTCCGGTTCATTCTTTCTGCAACCCCCTGCTGCTGGTGAGCGTAGGGCAGGGACACCAGGCGTCTGATTCCTCTTTCCGCCAAGTAGTTTCTTGAATCGTTGTGACTGGTATTCTAGTGCGCCGTGTGACTGGAAGCTCTTGAGCTTAGTTCCTGATTCTCGTTCAGCGATGGGGAGCCACGTCGTGAAGGCTTCGAAAGCTTGATCGCGCGTCTTGAGGTTGTAGTGCCAGACATATCTTCTTGCTGCATCGATGAACGTGATGACATAGTTGAAGTCGGCCTCAGTGTCGTCTCGAGGCATGTTTAAGATGCCACTGTAAACTTTTTCCATCGGTGCGTATGCAGGTGCGCTTGGGTTGTGATGTGATGGAAAAGGTTGGTGTGGAAGATCGGCTTCGGGGCACGTGAAGCACCGTGCGCGTGGTCGTCGAAGTTCTTGGCCGCTTGTTGTAAAAAGAGTGTTGCGTTCTAACACTTTGGCTTGGATGGTTTGTAGTATTTTGCTGTTTGCAGGGTGCCCGAGGCGTTGGTGCCAGATGTCGTCGGGAGCGCGATGGCCGGGCGAGCGTTGGTACATGTCGGTGTTGGAGAAGAACGCGACGACCGAGGCGGGACTTCGGCAAACTTCTCGTGTGATTGGCATAAGTTGATCTACTTTGGTTGGCGGTCCTCGGATTGCTGGTGATGGTACTCGGCTGGGCCCGCTGCTGTGACTTCAGGTGATATCGAGGAAGGAACGCTTGCTGGTACTTGTCTTTCTTGTCGAATAACTGATAACGCTCGTGTTCTCTCTGCTGCAGGTATTGTGTTGGAGTACCAGAAGCCATCTGGGGTGAAGTCGGGGTCAAGATCCGGCGGGTTCGTCCATGCGGCGAACGACACGATGCCATCGCTATCGGCAGTACCGCGGTTAGGGACGAAATCCAACACGAAGACGCCCGACTTCAGGAGAGCGCGACCGATGAAAAGACCGCCCTTCCCGTGGTAAAGGCGAAATTCGTTGGAGTCCGAGTCACATTCCAGGTGAATACCTTTTGCCATTAACTGGCTGACGCTGATTAAGTTGTATCCCAAGTTGTCGACGATTAGAACTTTGTTGAGTTGTAGTATGATGTTCGTCTCCATTGATTGAAGCTGAACGACGCCTTGTCTGTTTGTTTTCAGATTCTCGTTGTTGGCGACGGTGATGAGGACATCGCGGTTGAGGCGTCGCTCTCGCTGCACGAAGCGTCCGGAAGAACACATGTGTTGACCGCAGCAGCTATCCAAGAACTAGGTGTTTCGCCCGGTGGGTTCGGCGTTGGCGACTGCAGCGTATGTCGGGTTAACCTGAAGTCCTTGTGAGCGCGGCGGCGGCAGTTCTTCCTCGTCTGGAGCGTAAGTGGGTGGTGAGCCGGGTGCACAGTTGTCAAGGTGTACCATGCAATTGATGATGTTTGGTGTGCCTTGTGCAGATGTGGAGGAACGCCTCGGTGGGCTTTTCTTGAGTGGAGGCGACTTGTGGGTCTACTGGACGATAAGCTCGTGGGCGTGTGCAGTTGACTTTGGAGTGTCTGGATGTTTGACAGTTGTGGCAGAACGGCGGCACGATGGTGAGTCCTCTATGGTCTCGTTGATCTTGCTTGCCACGTCGGTTGTAGTTGTTGTCATTCCTTCGTTGAGTGTAGAAGACTAACGATTGCTGCTTCCTTGGTTGTCTTTCTTCAAAC